CAGGAACTGAAATTGGGGGGGGGGTGTTCAAATATACAAGGGGGGTATCAGGGCCAATGAGGGATGAGACTGTGAGGGTGAAGGTGGGCTGTACGGCACCATAGTTCACAAAACTGAGGGGATGTTGCAGAAATTCAGAGGGGGGTATACCCCCTCATGGGGGGTTTAGGGAAACCCCTGAGATGTCAATCTGTGGAGCCTGTCGGTGGGTGTTGAGCACCCACTATGGTTTTTTCCCTGGGTATTCCAGCCCCAGAGCACCAAGGGTGCTGTTTTGGGAGAGCAGGGCGGAGGGAGTAGCCGTGTGCACCAGGATGCGTCTTGTTTTTCTTCCCATTCCTCTGACAATAGGGACTGAGGGAAAACTACTTGGATGCCATAATTACTCCTCTGCTCCTCCCTTCCCCAGACAGGAGTCCCGTCCACTCTTCCGAAACGGCCCCCTTGAAGAGCACCCACGGAGCTGGCACCGATTCCATTGTCCCTTATTTGCTGTCCTGCCCACAACCCCTGTCATCTCTTGGGAAGGTCTGTCTGGTTCTCCAAGCTCCCTCTTGTGTGTGTCATGAGCCTCCAGCCCCAGAGCACCAAGGGTGCTGTTTTGGGAGAGCAGGGCGGAGGGAGTAGCCGTGTGCACCAGGATGCGTCTTGTTTTTCTTCCCATTCCTCTGACAATAGGGACTGAGGGAAAACTACTTGGATGCCATAAATTACTCCTCTGCCCCTCCCTTCCCCAGCCAGGAGTCCCGCCCACTCTTCCGAAACAGCCCCCTTGAAGAGCACCCACGGAGCTGGCACCGATTCCATTGTCCCTTATTTGCTGTCCTGCCCACAACCCCTGTCATCTCTTGGGAAGGTCTGTCTGGTTCTCCAAGCTCCCTCTTCTGTGTGTTGTGAGCAAGACACGAGAAGTCATTCTTCCACTCTACTCTGCGCTGGTTAGGCCTCAGCTGGAGTATTGTGTCCAGTTCTGGGCATCGCATTTCAAGAAAGATGTGGAGAAATTGGAGAGGGTGCAGAGAAGAGCAACAAGAATGATTAAAGGTCTAGAGAACATGACCTATGAGGGAAGGCTGAAAGAACTGGGTTTGTTTAGTTTAGAAAAGAGAAGACTGAGGAGGGACATGATAGCTGTTTTCAGGTATCTAAAAGGGTGTCATAAGGAGGAGGGAGAAAACTTGTTCATCTTGGCCTCTGGGGATAGAACAAGAAGCAATGGGCTTAAACTGCAACAAGGGAGGTTTAGGTTGGACATTAGGAAAAAGTTCCTAACTGTCAGGGTGGTCAAACACTGGAATAAATTGCCCAGGGAGGTTGTGGAATCCCCATCTCTGGAGATATTTAAGAGGAGGTTAGAGAAATGTCTATCAGGGATGGTCTAGACAGTGTTTGGTCCTGCCATGAGGGCAGGGGACTGGACTCGAGGTCCCTCCCAGTCCTAGTGATCTATGATTCTATGAATCTCTTCCCCCTGCCTTCCAAGGAAGGGGCTTCATGTGCATCCCATTCCCCCTCGTTATTTCATTACAGTCGCACCCCAGGGCCCCAAACAAGTTCCAGGAGCCCTGGGGCTCAGCACTGTACAACCACACAGCCGGGGATGGGAGGGGGCGTTACGCTGTATCTGGGAACATGAGCCCCTCAGGCAGCAGCTCAGGCCAGCTGCTCAGGTACCATTCCGTGAGGTACCCACCCCCCAGGTGAGAGTTCTGCACCAAAGAACTTACAATCTAAACAGGCAAGACAGAGAAAAGTGGGGGAGGTGCATTTGCGATGATTTTCCAACCTTATCCTTGGCTTTGTCCATCCCGGTGAGGAAGAGCAGGTCGGCCAGGAAGAGGCAGAGGCAGAGCTGCAGGTGGAGGGAGGTGCTGACGTTGCGGATGGAGCGGCACAGGAGGAAGGTGAGGATGGCGAGGAAGAGGCACAGCAGGGAGATGGACAGGCCCACGTGGGTGATGATGCTCAGGACAACGTCATTCTGCAAAAGGAAAAATTAAAGCCAGAGAAAATCTTGCAAATTGCGCTGTAGGAACAGGCTCTGTGAAATACCCGGATAGTTTCCCATGGCAATTGGAGCTCCAGCTCTACTGGTGGGGATCCCCTCCATGCCCTGCCCCTTCCACTAGAAAACACAGAGGCACAAACAGCGCAGGTCTGGAGTTTGCAGCCCCAGACAATTACGTGGTTCTCTGGATTTAATAGTGACTGCGAACAGATTGGATCAAATATTGGGTTGCACAGGATATAAGCCAGTCTGTAGGACGTCTAACAGGCCGGTAAAGTGCAGGGGATCATGACTAGCGGCTGGCTCCAGCCATTGGAACAATTCACAGCACGAGACACCGCTCCTTTCCTTTCTGTGCTACAGGCCTTCAGCTTGGGTGTCCAAGGGCTTGGGTGCTTTTTTGTCTGGGCGAATACAACCCCAGCTTGCTGTACATGGGTTGGGAGCGTCGGCAGATGTTTGAAATACCTGGCTGACATGCCTGGCCATCAGGACGGCAAAGCTGGACATATGGTTACAGGCGCAGGTGGTGTGTGTGTTGTTTGCACTGAGCGGTTCGCAGCCCTCTGTGGACCAGGTGCCTTTGTCGCTAACGACATCCCAGAAAACACAGACCGTCTCTTTGTTATTCTTCGGCTGGGAACAGAAATTGCAGCAACAATGTCAGCACCACACACTAGTTTAGCTCATGCTCACGGAGCAATGGTTTCAAGTTGTGGTGGGAGAGGGCCCAGGTGGGTATTAGGAACCTTCAACTTCTTGAAGGAAGATTCCAAAGAGTCTGGAGAGAGGCTGTTCTCAGTAGTGACAGATGGCAGAACAAGGAACAATGGTCTCAAGTTGTGGTGGGAGAGGTCCAGGTTGGATATTAGGAAAAACTCTTTCACTAGGAGGGTGGTGAAGCACTGGAATGGGTTACCTAGGGAAGTAGTGGAGTCTCCGTCCCTAGAGGTGTTTAAGTCTCACCTTGACAAAGCCCTGGCCGGGTTGATTTAGTTGGAATTGGTCCTACCTAGAGCAGGGGGCTGGACTTGATGACTCCTGAGGTCTCCTCCAGCTCTATGGTTCTATGATTCTATGATTCTAGGATCCAGAGTTTGACAGACAGGTTGGGACCAGTATGGCCTTTATTTTTGTATGTCCAGGGGCAGAATGAATTTTATGTCACCTATAGGGAGATATGTCACCTCAGTATTGGGGCACATAACAAAATTCTGTCTGCACATGGACAGTTTGGGAGTGGTGATGCTGAGAGATTTGAACTAAAAGGAGGCTCAGGCTGAAGGTGCAGGGTGGGGCTGGAGATGAGGGGTTTTGAGTATAGGTTCCCCCAGGAGAGAGGGCTCTCCCCAGTCCTCTAGCTCCACAGCAGTTCTGGGCTTGGTGCAAGGTTCCTCTCTGCAGGCCGGGGCAGCTCCAGTGAGGCTGGGTTGGACTGGGGGAGGGGCGCTGCTCTCCAATTTATGGCAAGTCCACGCTGCTGGGGATGGCGAGGGGAGAACTTGGAGAAGGGCTTCTCCCGTACACGGCATCTCTGAGCTCCTGGATGGGGCTTATTAGGCAGCTGTGCGGCTGCACAGCTTAGAGGTGTTTTTGTTTGGGACTCAGGGACTGGAGTCTCTGCCTGGCTCTGACCTGATGCACAAACTTTTGAGACTCTTCTGTGCCTCTGTTTCCCTTCCCACCCTCTCTCTCATATATTTAGACCAAGCTCTTTTGGGTTGGGGTCCATGTCTTAGTTTGTGCAGTGCCTGGTTGAATGGGACCCTCCTCTCAGTGGGCCTCCACATGCCTGCATGTGATGAGATGGAGGAGAGGGAACCAGGGGAAGGAGTTAAATCATAGGGGATCTGTGGGCAGGAAGATCATTTTTGCAGGACTGAAGGGGACTTTACAGATCCAGGGGACCCAGAGAGGAGGCTGCAGTAGAAAGGTGGAAGATAACCCAAGCCATAGCGAGGGCAAAGAAGAAAACCTAGATTTTGGGGTCAGAAGCAGCATTCAGATTTGGATTCCTCGTGGGGTAGGGGAGGAGGTGGAAGGAGCTGAAGAGGCCCCTCTGCAGTGAGGCTACCTGGAAGAAGATGGCAGTGTTAACAGAGGTAAGAAAGAGGTGAGTGGCAGGGAAAAAAGAGGGCCAAGACAGGCCCCACTTCTGTTTCAAGCAGGGATGTGGCTGCCTTTCGGGGGCAACTGGTGAGGGAGAATTTGGGAGGGCCACCCACCGGACGGCCACCCACCCCCCAGCCTGAAGAAGGGCAGTGACAAACCCTGTCTACCCCAGGCTCCCTTCCCTCCCGTGCTCCCCACCTTTGCTCCCCACCTCTTCCCCACACCTCCTCTGAGCAATGTGCTGGGAGAGCAGAAGGAGCTGGGGCTTCTCCCACTGCTTTTGGTGAGTGGGGGTGGGGCAGGCCACTGCTGTGAGCTCCAGGCCCACTCACTAGTTCTCCCAGCTGCTGTCTAGCCTCTTTCTCCTCCTGCCCCCGGGGGCGTCCCACTGCTTTTGGTGAGTGGGGGTGGGGCAGGCCACTGCTGTGAGCTCCAGGCCCACTCACTAGTTCTCCCAGCTGCTGTCTAGCCTCTTTCTCCTCCTGCCCCTGGGGGCGGGTGACTCCTTTTGCCCCCC